CTTGTTTTGCTTTGTTTGTGTGTGCAGCTTTTGCTTTCTCTATTAAACTGTCTTTATCTCAACCCATGAGTTTTCTTAGCTGTTACCCTTCTGATTCTCTCCCCCATCCTGTTGGTGGGGGGAGTGTGTGAGCAGCTGTGTGGTTCTTAGCTGCTGCTGGGGTTAAACCACAACACTTGTGTTTTCCCAGAACAATACTGTTTCCCTCCACAGTCTTAATGAATCCTCAGTTATGGGAATTAAAATAGTCCTTCCACCAAGGCAGGAATCTGAAGGCTTGTTTCCTTGGCTGTCTGTCATGAAAGCTGGGATATTGTTAATGGTCAGAGTTACTCCTTGTGGGTGTAAAGGGAGCAGTAATTATTTGCTGAGATAATGGTAGTGAAAGAATACGATAAAAATTGAAGAAATTAAGAGATGCAGACAAATCTGACTCAGGCTTTGTTATGGCTTTAAATATATATCTTTTAATGCACAAAGGTATCATTGTATGCGTTTGTATATACACAGTACCACTGAAAGAAAATAATTTTAGTATGGAGTGTACTCACCAGATAATTCAGAACCTTTCGAAGATGGCACGGAAACAAATCCCTGCTCTTATGGAAAAGACCCTTTGATCCTCTGGCCTTGATTTTCTGCTGCTATAAACTGGCAAAACTCCACTGAGGCCATTTGTATTCATACAGAGCAGACAGGAGCCATGTATTTACAGTCTTAGCTGAAAGAGTATGGAGCCAAATCAATTCCTGATTTAACTACACTGAATATATAGTTATGTATATGACCCATTATCATTATGGGGAAAGATTGAAATGTAGAGCCAATTCAAATGAAATGTAAAAAACATATCTTGTAGCTAGCTGTTCAGATACTCATTTTACACAGGTCATTTTGGAGTTTCTGTAGCCATGTGTGCTTAGAACATTGCTTTTGCTTTAGAAAAATTACCACATGCATTTTAAAGTCCTGTTCAAATCATGAAACCTGATGCGTCCATAACTCCTAATGATTCCGACCTTCTTTAAAGTGTTTGTTGGAGTTTTTTTCCTCTGCATTTTGGCAAGAATTAGAAATGGACTTTGCTTTATCTTGGAATTG